GTGTGCAAGTGTGTGTGAATGTGTGTCTGGGTATGTGTGTGTGTGTACGTGTGTGTGTGTGTTCGTGTGTGTGTGTGTGTACGTGTGTCTGTGTGTGTGTGTGTGTACGTGTATGTGTGTGTGTGTGTGTGTGTGTGTGTGTCTGTGTGTGTACGTGTATGTGTGTGTGTGTGTGTGTGTGTGCGCGCGCGCGCGTGCGTGCGTGCGTCAGTGTCGCGGCAATAATCTAGGGGTGAATAATGTAACCTGGAAGGGGCGGACTCGCGGGCCAATTTCAATAAAAACCTCACCATGGGGTACGTGGTTGTACCAAAGATTCTCTACTTTACTAAGTATACACGATCTTCGGCTGTTGTTGTTGTAGGTGGTGGTGGTGTTTTGTTATTGTTGTTGTTGGTGGTGGTGGTGGCGTATTGTTATTGTTGTTGTTGTTGGTGGTGGTGTTTTGTTATTGTTGGTGGTGGTGGTGTTGGTGGTGTTTTGTTATTGTTGTTGGTGGTGGTGTTGGTGGTGTTTTGTTATTGTTGTTGTTGTTGTTGTTTGTGGTGGTGGTGGTGGTGGTGTTTTGTTATTGTTGTTGTTGTTGTAGTTGGTGGTGGTGGTGGTGGTGTTATTGTTGTTGCTGTTGCTGGTGGTGGTGTTGCTGTTCATTGTGTGTCTGTAATGGGCTGTACCAAAGATTCTCTACTACCTCGGTATACACAATCTTTGGCTGTACTACGTTCATTGTGTGTAATAAGGCTGTTCACTGTGTTATGGTGTGTTGAGTTGTGTTGTGATGTGTTGTGGTGTGCTGTGTGTTGCGTGGCGTGCTGTGGTGTGATGTGATGTGTGTTGTGTGATGTGGTGTGTGTGGTGTGAAGTGGTGTGGTGTGGTGTATTGTGCTGTGCGTTGTGGTGTTGTGTGGTGTGGTGTGGTGTGATGTGATGTGTTGTGGTGTGATGTGTTGTGTCGAGTATTATGGTGTGTTATATTGTGTCACTAGCCGCAATGTGACGTCATGGGTTGTTGTTTTTTTGTTTGTTTGTTTTTGTAAAAGAGTTTTACAGCACTTGCAACACAATAAGGTCATTTAAGTGTCGAAGATTAGAGGTGTTACAAGAGAGTAACAAATACAAAAAAGAAGTAGGAGAGATCAGGATGATAGATGTTTGGTGGGAAAGAAGGAGCAAACCACACCAGAGCAAAAAATAATAATAATAAATAGCATATGTATAGCGCATATCCCCACTCAACAGCAGGCTCTATGCGCTTTACACTAAATTATTACCCCGGCAGACCATAGAACACTCCGAAACATTCTCAACTTCCCGGGAAGCATACAGTGCAAGCAGCTGATTAAGCGCTCAAACACTAACAAACTGACAAGATCTTTCGCTGTCTATAGCCGGGTACCCATTCCCACCTGGGTGAAGTGAGGAAAATTCATGTAAAGTGCCTTTCCCAAGGACACAACGTCGGGTCCCAGACGGGATTCGAACCCACGACCTTACGGTTGCGAGTCCGAGAGCCTAACCACATGGGTTATAAGTTATATAGGTACATGTATTTCTAAAAAAGGGGACTCACTTAGACTAACAGACTACAAACATCAGGGGTCTCCGCTTTCGGTGGGGCCAACATCAACGGGTGGCCATGACGTTATGCGGAAAAAGGTGTTTTTTTTGTTTTTTTTTTAATTTTAAAAAAGGAGACCGTAACTAGACTTTTAGTTTAAGTTTTAGTTTTAGTTTAATTTCAGTGAGAATACAGGGAGACGCTGGCTATTAGAAGAGCGAAGAGACATAATCTAACCACCCCAACCACGAGTACATTCCAGTGTCCCCACTGCAACAGACATTGTACTTCCAAGATCGGATTGCACAGCCACATGCGCGTCCATGGATGAGCTGCAGGATTTCATCGCCATCTTCGGCAACGAAGCACTACCTACAATTTCAGTGAGACTTTTTCGGCACTTGCAGCATAATAAGGTCATAAAGGTATATTAGAGGCGTTACAAGAAAGAAACATACAAAGAAAAGGAGATGAGATGGTAATGACGATAGATGTTTGATTTGAAAGACGGAGAAAATCAAACCAAAGCACCTGCCAACCACCCAAATATCAGCAACTTGGACGTATTCTATCGGTAGCCACCGAGGGGGCAAAGAGGGAAGAGGGAGTTGCACTCCACAAAGTTCACCAGTGGTAGTTTTTATTTTTAAGGGGGCGGGGGGGGGGCTACAGCTGAAGGCTATCTCGCTAATTAGTAAACCAAATTTTATCATATTTAACACGTATAACAAACATAGTAAGGAGTCTTAAAATCCGCAATCAAATTGGAGGGGGAAAAAGTTTCGTTTCCATGGATACGGCGGCCATATTGGATGCACACAGGGGCTATCCCGAAAAATGCTGTTTTGAGAAAA